GCCGTTTTGACGTTTATTGGATACAAACAAACAGACACCCAGACAGACAAACAAGCCAAATTTATATATAATTTTTTGTTATATGATTTAATTATACTTAAATTCAATACGTGCGTAATTTCAAGTGACCCTCCATCTATAAAGTGGCATGTCCAAGGCGCCTTTGAAACCTTCATTTCTCCATCGTTTCAGAACCAAAATGTGCATGAGTCACTTTTGTAGAGAAACAACAAATGAAAACAATCAGTTTTCAAAATGGGAAATATGGATATATAATGCAATAGTTGATCAATCAAACCTTTAAAGGTTAATGTTGTGAATCAGAATTGAGATTATATCACTTTAAACCAGGAGGCGGAACGTCATGTGTGTGTGTCTGTACCAAAAGAGTGTGTGTCAGTTTAAAGTACCGAAGGTGTGTACTGTAGGTTTATACTGTACGTAAGAATCTCGGTATTTGTACAGCCTAGGAGAGTACATTTGTTTATTGTTAATTGTTTACTTAGAAATAAGTTTAATATACATGTAATATATTATTTACATATTTAAGTCAACACTGTAAAGCCAAATTTCCACGCAAAGAATATAATTTGATTAAATTGTTTACAATAAACTACTCGTTATTCAAGTTTAATTATAATCGACGACATTGTTCTACAATTTCCTTGACTGTAGTCATGTTGTGTGTCTGTACCAGAAGAGTGTTTGTAAGTTTACTGTACTGGTCTGCAAAGCAGTGCGACTGGCTTTCTCTTGCCAGACCAGCGCCATTTCCTTTCCCTATATTCCTGTTCCCTGCTTTAAACCTTTCAATTGATTCAATATTTTTTAACTGCTTTGTAGGTTCGCGAACTTTGAAGAAATGAAGAAAAAAAATTTACAAAATGATCTTTAAAAAAGATAATGAAAAGCTTTAAAATACTGCCTCTAAAATCAAGAATCCAAGGTTTTTTTCAACAAATCTTCAGATGTAATATTAAATGAGCCCTCCCGCCCTCACCAGGGGTGCACCTAGGCCCCTAGCCCCCTTGTATCCCCTGTATTTTCTTACCCTCAAGTGTTTTTGTCCTAAAAACAGTGTGAAAGGAAGAAAATTTTTCTTATGATAAATATTTGAGTATAAGGAACAGAACGCGGATGGAACCGTTCTCAGCAAAGAAGGGAACAAAATGAGGATGTAACAGTTCTCAACTAAAAACACAAAGATCAGAACGGAAAGGGATGGACTGTTTTTATTAAGAACACCAAGAACGGAATGGAACAGAACGTGGATGGAACAATTGGAAAAACAACAAATAAGAACAGAACAATCTAGCTGAAGGTTCTCGTTCTAGAACGGAATAGAACGATTTAAAAAAAGTCGGAAGGTGCCCAGCCCTAACTGTTGCGCTAAATTAAAAAGTTTTGGTGTGCTGTTTAAAGAGGATGAAAAGTGGTTGAATTATGTCTATGTGGTTCAACTTTGTCTTTAATTACTCCAAAGGTGAAACATCAATGTCCTGTAGATCAATATGGGTTTCTTTGATCAAGGAAGCTCTCTCTAAAATTCTTGCACACTCCTCTACATCATTTATTGTTGAGATTAGCTGGGTGAATCTATGATTGGCAAGATTGGAGTCTTGGCTCTTCTTCAACATTTCTTTGTACAAGATCATCTTCAGCTTTCCTAAAATATTTGTTGAACATAAATCATAGATAATCAAACTCAGAGCCTGGCAAGGGTGGGTTGTTTAGATAAAGATGCAGTTATAGAAACTGATGATTTAAGTATTCTGTTTTGAAGCTAAGAAAATATAGTTTTGACAAAAAAAATCTTACCTGGAAGAAAATTTAGGAAGTTCTCACATTCAACAATGGAGTTGAAGAATACCAGATTTTGGTATAAAAGATTGATCACAGGATCGGCCAAAAAGGTTTTCAGTGTTTGGCAGGTCTTTACAAAGAATTCTTCCACTTCAAGACTTTCAGCCCATGGGGACTTAAACATGTCACTTTTCATGAAATCAACAATTTTCATGTCATGGATGTGAACCGGCATTATTGCACTGAACGGATAGGATTCAACATTGAATCCAAAAGTTGCTAAAGATTGCCGCATTGTAGTTCCTTCTTTAGCTGATGAATAGAATATATAATAGCATTGGTACAAAGTTTTGAAGTTTGTCTGTACAGAGGGATCAAGGTCAAAAATGTCTTTTACCACAGCACTTAAAATATTGTCAACAGCTAAATCAACCAATGTACAATCTAAAGCCGGATCATAGGTCAGTGATTGAACATCTAAGGTTTGATCATGAATCTTATCCATTTCTTGCTGGACAAAGTTATATGACATTCCATCCTCATAGATTTTAAGCAGAAGCTTTCTCCAGCTAGTTACAACACCACTAAAGATCTGAACATCTTCAGGGTTAAGTTGGTTATTTATGGACATGTGGAACAGCTTGGGATTCTTGATCAACAACCCTCCCCCTTCGACAATAGCTGATTGGTTTCTTTTTGGATCAACAAATAAAGGCTGGGTAATAACTTGATTGTCTATCATAAAATCCACATCAATAACTTTTTCCTCTTCTATGTTAACAAAAGGACTATCTGTTGGTGATGTCAATGCTTCATTTTTTCCTGAATTCTTTTCTTCCTCAGCAAAATAAGCAATGATTGCTTTCTTGGTCTTGTCTACTTGCTCTGGTTTCATTCCAACCTGGATACATTTATTGAACCGACACAACTTGCAACCAACTCTGGCATTCGTTGCAATCGGGCAATTGAACAATTCAGTTTTGCAGATTCTCTTCAGATTTTGGCTGACAGACCTCCTAAACAGATAAAATGGATGTGATTTCATATTTATACAAAAATATTTTTTTATTAATGCTACCTGAAAAATATTCTGCATGAATTGCAGATATTTCCATCAGATCCATAGTGATAAAGCAGTTTTACTGTCTCGTTGCCACAAACCAAACATACATATGGCATCTTGTCTACTTAAATTTTTTTCCCCAGGTGAAGCCAAGCTCCTATCAGTCTTAAATCTGAAATAAAATGTTTGAACCTAAACCTTCAATCAGCTGTTGAGTCAGACATTCCTGCAAAACTGAAAACTGCAGATCAGCTAAAAAGAAGATACAAGTCAGAGAAAATATTCACTGCTCTTTTCAAAACTTTGTGAAAAATTTAACTTAAAAATAAATTGTAAAAAATTACCAAAAGTGTTTCATCCAAATCTTGAAAAAACGACATCTAGTGTCCTATCTGTTATTTTAACTAATCTATGATGAAAACCAATTGAATAAAACATATGAATTTAGTCAATGAGTTTTGCTAATTGCAGTAGTAATTGTAACATCAGAAGAAATTATTGAAACTGTAGTAACTACAGTAATTGCAATAATTATTGAAATTGTAGTGACTGTAGTAATTGTAAATATACTATGAAGTAAAGACCTGATTTCAATAGTATTGACTGCGGTTTTATAATAACTAATAGCTACAAAAACACATGTTAAGATCTTCTAAATATTATATAATTTCTAAACCCCAGGATAACATTCAGGCCTAGGATTTTGCATTGTTGAGTCTTTTATCTGTCTGTAAACGTACTTAAAAAATTTTCATTTGTAGAGTGGCAAGTTTTATTCACTTAGGTACCCTTCAAGCTTTGTGTGATCAAGTGTAAAATAGACAAAAAAACTGTATTTTCAATTGGGGTTTCGCTAAAAAAAAAGTGACTTGTGCATTTCTACTGCATGATAACAAAGGAGGAATTATCAGAATTAAACACTTTTCAAGCTAAAATAACTCCATTAACTTCCCCATTATTGGTTAGATAAAGGTTAAAAGGGCACCGTTGTGAATCAGGAATGTCCTAAACTGCTGATGTCAACTTTAGTTAGACATAAATTAAAAACTCTGCTTTTGAAACTTAATAGTTGTTCCAGAAAGAATCATTTGTGTAGTTATCAAAGAAAACTGAATAAGTTGTTCAACTTTATACGGAATTTCCATACAAATATTGTTTTTTTAGCTTTAGTTCTTATATCTACAGTTTCTACTGTAAAAGAAGATCTAAAGATCACTGTTTTTGTTTACAATAAAACTAGGTTTACAGCTGTCCTTCTTCAATTAGTAAAACGTAAACAAACCCCTGTCCCCTTACAGGGTGTCCCACGAAACATCACAGGTGGTGGATAGTTTTGAATGTCTTCTTCCATATATTTCATTAAATATTTAAGACATTTTGCAGCTTATTTCGTTATAAAACATCTTTTCCTTAAATTTATTTTACTTTGAAATCAATTTTGCTATAATATAATTGCCATATAATATTGTTATCAAACAACTTAACTAATTAACCAACAATCATGTTTCTTGGGACACCCTGTACTTAGTTCTTCACCACCTAGCATCTATCTGTAAACTGAAGTATTGAGGAATGAATTGAGTGGGTTTGGAATGACACTTCTGAATAGAACTTGATTCCACACAGCGCTAATATTTCTAAGCTCTAATGTGTACACAGCAAGAGTACAAGGTCCCCATAACATAACATAACATTTACATAACATAACAACTTAATATATACATAACATAACATAAGACTTATGTAAGACACAATCAGGATATTTCACTCAATGCTTAAAGGGACTGTAAAGGAAAAATGAAAGGGGGTATAGGTCGAAGCTGAGGTTCTCAGCTTTTGAACAATACCATAGAAGACATCTATCTGATGTTCCTGTCTCGAGAAATTGATATAAAACTGTGTCGAAATTATACCAAAACGGGCATATGCCAGATTTGGTATAAAAGTTGTAGTATTAAATACATCATATTAAAAAAATACGCCACCAATATAAAAACGCCTCGTTTTAACAGGAAGCTGAGAACCTCAGCTTTGCTTCTGTTATAATTTTATTTTTTATATTTTCCATTTCAAATAGATATAATTGATTAAATTTTTTATCGTCGCTTCTGTGGATTTTTAATAACAAAGACGACCGAAAATCAATCAATAAATCATGCGTCAGAGATATTTAGAATAAGTTACAACTATTAGTCTTGCATTATAGTCTTATCTTTACGCTTACGGAAAATGTTCTTGTATCTAATCAATATTTTTTACGATAATATGTTACCGAGAATACCAAACCAAACATATCCGTACACAGTATAAAAATAATAAAATTAAGAAACTTTCATTTGACGCATTTGACTTTTTAAATAATTCTTTGATTTAGTATAGTGATACCAACTGAGAAAGCTTTAATCTGTAAGAGTTTCGTCTGCTATGTTTACATTTTGTTTGTTTATGTTTTGACTGCATACGGTTGTACTTAGTAAAACACGAAAATTGCAGTTTACAAACAGAGAAAACTTGTCCGTCTTCACTGTTCATCTTGCAAAGACATAATAGACACATATCTTTACAGCCTTTTACCCTTTTCATAAAATAAACTCTAGCAGACATAATAATATTATGGCTTTTGAAATTAGGTATTACAATGCTAATTCATAACAAAGACGATATACTATTCGTGACTGAATTCCCATGTTTTTTGGGACACCCTGTAATTGATCATGTGGCCGCAGCGCCATGCCTCCTAGCCTGTCCTAGCGCGGCACTTTGCCCCCTAGCCTGTCCTAGCTGCAGTGCTCGGCCCCTAGCCCATCCTAGCTGCAGCGCTCGGCCCAGAAATTGTCTTTAAACCTAACCTGACCCAAAAATGATAAAACATAAATGTACAAAATTGATAGGAGGGGGGGGGGGTCCAAAAATCGTTCTCTGGACAGACTCCTCTCTCCTCTGCTCCGCACATGGTACTGGAATATGACGTCAGAGGGTACCAATCTTCCCGTAACCGTATCCACCGTTCATTTGTGCGCAAGCTTCGTTGCGAAACCTTATTGACTATTTTGATTTGATGTAAATACTGCGAATGTAAAATATTTCTTGACGGACAGATGTACCGTCTGTATTGCTCATAGAAAATATCTAAAACTTTAATAAAGATTCCTTTTTGGTAATTTAATAGAAAACGCTGTTATGGTCAAGTACAAAATTATTAGGATGGGGGGGGGGGGGGGGGGGGGGGGTCCCTCCCTGGGACCCATCCCCTCTATTTCCTTAGTGTGAAACAAATATATAACATGTTTGATACATGTTTGGGAAGCTCTACTTTATCAATCTGCAAAAAAACGAAAATTTACTGAATTTCTAATATTTATTTTTTGAAAAGCCCTTACCACGACAAATTCAAATAATCAAAAATATTTGCAAAACTTTCAAAAACTAAATTTGTATCTATAAGCCTCAGACCAATACATTTTATTTCTAAAAAACGTCAGGGGTCCGGCCCATGGACCCCTTCCCCCTCTGCCGGAATAGGGTTGCAATATTTTATTGAACCCAAAATGAAATAAAATCCACAAAACGAAAAATATAACTATCATATAAAAACAAAGATGAATGGAAATACACATAAATGTTTTCTTGATTTAAATTTTGTACAAAATAAAAAATAAGATAGCGAAGTTTACTTTTACAAGTAAGCATTGGCACATATATAGTTAATATTTATATAAAATTAAATGATTTTATCAGTATAAAGCTATAAAGTTCAATTAGTTCACGTGTGGTATAATGTTTTGATTTTCTCCTAAGAATTTACGATATTTCCAAAAGATTTTTTTCAATTGAAATGAAAATAATATTGAAATCAACATTGAAATAAGACAAGTACACAAACGTTTACTAATAACATTATTTTGGCATGGCGTGCTATATAGATTTGGAATTCAATTTTCTCTATATCTTGAAGGTTCTAGCCTATTCAGATCATATTAAAAACTAAACCTAAAAGGGCTGGAACCTTCCCGATAAAGAGAAAATTTCTATCCAAAACTTTTTTTAAACTGCGAACCAAAGTAACAGTGTTAAAATATGATTACATTTTAACTAGTTCACTAGGAAATTCACGATGAAGTGAGGAAGAATGATAAAGTACATTTCAAAATTACAATTGTTTATAGATTATTTATGTAACTAGGCTTTTAGGGCGCTTCGCGCTGATCTTCTATTTTAACTTTTTATTGTGGCTTTATCTGCGAGCATCAATTCGCGGATTTCATAATATTTTTTCGCGCATTTTCAAAATTTTACAAAAAAAAAACCTTTTAGCACACATTTTTAAAATTTTAATCATTCATAAACTTTCCCTGGAGTCGTGTGAGGTCCCTCACAAAATTTGGGACTGATCGGTTCGGCCGTTTTGACGTTTATTGGATACAAACAAACAGACAGACAAATAAGCTAAATTTATATGTAGATATCTATATTGGCATAGTATTTACTAGGCTTTTAGGGCGCTTCGCGCCCATCTTCTA